AAATGAGTTCTACATGAGGAATGAAAGATACATACTAAGGTCACAGCTGTCAGCACAACATAAATAAATAAAATAAGCCATAAGAAGACAAAAAGAAAAAGAACTGTACATAATGTGTTACACATGGAGTTTTTTAATTTTATTTATTTAACCAGGTAAACAGTTTGAGAACCACTTCTCATTTACAAACATGACCTGGCATGCACTGAGTGCACTGCAATATACAAACCTACATATTCAGCCATAACAAAGTGACTGTAAATTTTAATCGCGATTAATCGCGATTAAAAAATTTCATCTATTCCCATGCAGCACTAAAATTAATCAGAGTTAACTTGATTAATTTCACAGCCCTAATTAAAACAGACACACAAACACAATTTGCACAAAATTCAAATAGTCCTGTTTGTCGATCTGACATGTTTATTTACTCGCACCAAACCCCGAATGCATCTTTAAAACGGATGCATTGATAAAGATGATAAAAACTGTAGCAKGTAATAAAATAAAGCGGCGCCATGAGGACAGAGGATTGACTGGGAGGTTTTATTAAACGTGAACTCTTATCCGGCCGACACATATTTCTGCTTCAGGCCGCCTCATTGAAATTCACAGTCACAGTTTAACCGGTACTCTTGGCAAAAGCAGCGCTACGTTGTAATCCCTGGGCTTTTAAAGAGAAGGTGTAAGAGTGTATGTGGCAGATTATGTCTGCAAGCAARCTCTAAGTTTGGGAGATGCAGTGTTCGCCGAGGATAGTTGCACTTTTCACCGACTCTTTAAGCTGAAAATCAGCCAGAATCRATGGCAGAGTGAAGACGGTAGCTGTGGAGGTAACTAGTCTTTGTGGCTCGGATYGTATTTCTGCTGCTCGTCTGCTGTTGACCCGTTTTCCTCTAACCTCCCTGAAGAGATGAATCACCTCTCCTCTGCAACATCCTCTAAGGTTCCTGTGCTTACCAGGTGGTGATCATGGAAGTGCAGGGGCTGAAGTCGTTGGCTCCGAACAGGATTGTTTACTGCACCATGGAGGTGGAGGGAGGCCAGAAGCTCCAGACTGACCAGGCGGAGGCATCCAAGCCAACGTAAGTCTGCACAGATGCATGTTTGTTTAGCACATGCATGTATGTGAGTATAAACAATGATAGTTGTAAATTTTAGAGTCTAGCACTATTTTTTTTAAACACAGCTTCCAAATGTTTCTTAGGAATGAAAACAAACTCCCATTTCACGCAAGATAAATCTTAATGAAATGTTTATTGTGGCTATTTGCCTGAGAGAAGAAAAAAAAGGCCATCAACAGTTTTGCGAATAAATTCATGAGAGGCAGAGAAACGATGGAGTCACAGAATGACTCAGAAGAATGGACTAAGAAGGTGCACTTGAATTTTTAGAGGAAACCATTGTTGCCAAACTCGCCCACATCTCAGTGGTTTCTTGGTTGCGGGGAGACATTTCCAGATCTCCTGCGATGCTTCTCARATGCCTCATTTCCTCTCAAAGGCACTTTGATGGCTACATTTACATTTGATGGCTACATTTAAAGAAAGTGGGGACTGCGCTGCTAAGGCAAAACTTTAGTTTGGTTATTTTCTTGGGAAATATTTTGAGTTTTTGGGTTTGGAGCAGAAGAATGTGGTTCCAGTAACATGCATTACTGCTAAAATAAAATATACCCAATTAAAGTGGAATAAAAAATAGTTTGGTAGAATTTTTTTAAACCTTCAGAAGCAGGACCTTCTTGTTTTAAATTTGAATCATTTACATTTTCCACTTAGAGGCTGCAGTAGCTCTTTGGTCAGCATTGTGGTGTTTATGATGATCCCAGTGTCACAATTAGGAAAAATATTATTCTAAATACAGCTTCTTCGACTTTATCCAGCTAATAAGCCAGCACTGTGCAGCACAAGTTACAAAGGCAGAGTCCGCAGAAGTTTTATGCAAATATGAGCTATTTTAAGGCCCACATTTCTTCCTCTGATCTCCCTGATTCAAGAGCCATTTTATGAAGAGAGAGATGGAGGGACGTGAATGAGGGAGGGGGATTAGAGCAGAACAAGCCAAGGGTAATGTGCACGCATGTTTTGTGGAAACATAAATCTGTTCAGTGACATTGTGTCAGTGTGAGTTAGAACTTTTTAAAAAATGATGCAAATTTCAAGTTAGGAAAAAGGTTAATTCTAGGTCACGTTTCAACTTTGRTCTCCAGAAGGTGAACGTTAAAGGCTCCTGGTGATGGATGCGTGACGGCTGAATGCCTGCGCACTGAACTCGCATGTACACACGTCACATGCAATGTGTGTTAATCTTCAGTCTGCTGCAGGTTATTCCCATACATTAATTAAATGTGTTCAGCAACCGTGTCCTCAGACTGACATTCAAATTACTGTTGTGGATTTACATTTAACTTTGATGCCTTGATGACAGGGTTGATGTCCCTTATTTTTGCTGTTTATTTATTTATTTATATGTCGAGCAGCGTGAGCATGCACGGAGTTTCATACATTTTGCAGAAAGAGCTGCAGAAGTGCAGAGCTGTCGTGTCCATTAATAGACCTTCCATTGAGCCACAATGTCACCTTCATGCCAGAACAATAGTTCCATGGGAAATCAACACAACTCAGCAATGACTGTTCACTGTCATCCAGCACTTTCTCTCCTCTGCTTCTAAACATCAAAGCTACAACATTTTTTGCTAATGTCCAGCATCAACAATGCAATTTGTGCTCTTTGTATCTTCAAGAAAAAACTGAACTTAAATATTTAAAGTATTCTTGAGGCTGCATATAACGTCTTGGCAGCCGCAGGTGGCAGCCCGAGCAAACAGAAAGCACATATATGTTGTATGTTATGATGAATAGTGTTATTGTTTTGTTGTTCAGTAATCTCTGTCATTTCCTAAAAAATTATGAGTCACTACCTGAAGTGAGTCATTCATGGTATGTGTGTTGCACTGGCTTTGTGCCCCCCTTCATCCCTGTTCTGTCTAAAGGTTATGTCAACACCGACATGTTGCATTGGAGTTGCTCCCAACTGAGTGGCAAAAATACCCRTAACAAAAACCACAAACTGTTGGAAAGGCTTGAAAACACAGATAGCAGGACTAAAAAGGTCAAAACGTACTTGTGAAATCACCTGTTCAAACTGATTATAGTAGATATTTGGGTCTTTCAAAATAGGGAAGGATAAACAACAATTGCTGCTAAAAAATAACAAAGAACCAAAAGTTGAGTTTATAGGAAACATGGTTTTATTGTTGTGCTACTTCTAAGGATAAAAATATCAAAATGTGTTTGTAGATTATACAATATTGGCTGTTTGGTGATTTCCATTTATGCTTTACGGAATAATTTTGCAAACCTCATTTGTATTTGGGTGAAGGTAAGATGTTAGGTCAGCAACCTGAGGATAACAGAGCAGTTGATGTATGTTAGCTTTTTTAGAAGATATTATTACTATAAACTCTTGATGTTTCATTAGGTATTTATTACTGTTTTCTCTCATTTCTCTGAGGAGAACTACAGTTCAGGCTGAAATTCTGTTCCAGCAGCTTTAAGCAGGTCTGAGACGTTAATCTGATAAACCCACCTTCTATCCTCACATCCCAGATGTTTGCTTTTTTTTGTCGTTTTATTTTCCAAAAGCTTTATCCCCTACTTGATTCTTTTTAAGAAATATTGTTTTAGACTTTAATCAGGTTACATGCATCTTTCTCTTTATCTGTCCAGAAAATCTTTGTTCATTCTCCTCAAACAAACTCTGATATGAGAAATCTGTAGAGATTCATTTTAAAACAAGTGGTTGGTGTATTCTAAATGTTKGATTTTTCAGATACAAAACTGATTTTCTTTTCCTAACATCTGTCTAAATGAAACAAAAAATAAACTTAATTTCAGGTTAAGTGCTCAATTTAAGGCAATTTAAGGCTTCAGTTGTTGGTTTTAGACATAAATTCTCAGAACTTTTTAGTGCTGTGGTTCTATAAAATCTAAACACAATAACAAAAAAGTTTAATAAAGCCAAAAAGAAATTTCATTCTATGAAAGAACAATATTGATTCAACACATTTCAACCATTAAAAAATGCTAAAGGTTATGAATCATCCATGAAGCTCGGTTTCTCCATGATTATTTTAATTTTCTGAGTAAGAAGATATATACTGTATATATA